TTGTTTTTTTTTACAAAGATGATTTTCTTTTTTTAAAATTTTTTTGGTTTTTTTTTTTATTATCTTGTAATTCAAATTGTTCAAATTGTTCGTCTCTGGGTGAAAGAGGATTATGAGATTCTTGTTTTATAAGTAAACAGCCCGCCATTATTCCATTACGGAGAATATCATCTTGCATTTGCAAAATAGTTAGAATCACAGAGATTTCTTCAATACCAAAGGTAGCAGCCGCATCATCCGATATCAAAATATCTTTAAAATGATTTACAAAACTAGTTCTAAGAAGATTATAATCAATTAACGCATCACTTTCAGACATTGCAGTTGGATGACATTGAAATTGAGAAATCATTTTTTCAGACTTTAAGCAAGATTTATGAGTGAATCTATTACACGGTTCACACCTATAACCTTGATGCATGATTCCCCAAAGTGGTTGTTTACAAATCATACACAAAACCAAGGTAAAAAGGTTTACAAGATGAAATTTATGACCAGCAAGATTTTCCGAAATTATTATTGCTTTTGAATTATTTGATTTTACGCGAGTGTCAGAAAGAAATTCCTTTGGATTATGAGATATGTCACAAAACCTTGGAGTAAATAATTTATGAATTCCTGAATCTAATAAATATTCAGTGAGAAAGCCACCATCAACCAGGTTATAACAAGTAAAGTGAACATTTAATTTGCAGCCACTACATCTTAAACCAAATTTTGAAACGGGCTTAAAACATTGAACGCAAGCATTTGGATGATCAGTAGGGATGAATTGTCCGTGCATGTCTACGATTTTAGCATGTCTGGTAATTGTGAGAGAAGCATGTTTATCAGGTTGAGCATTATTTGATTTTGTACATTCATCATGATAAATATAAGGTAAAAATTGATGAAGATGAACGTCTTTGATCACATTTGAATTACAAGATAATATAAAAAGACATCAAAAATATTTTGAAAAAAGGGAATTATCTTTGTCAAAAATATCAAAAGAATATTGGAGCGGAATGGGAAGAGAACCACACATGTGGTTGTTATCATGTGAAGAATATCTTGCTCATTTGGCTTCAATAATGAAAACTTCTGTTGATTCCGAGATTATATTTGCCTCCACTAATGATAAACGTTCAAGTACCAAAACAGCAAATACATTATCGTCATTACTGCCAACAACAACAATGAACTCATATTCACAAGATGATAACTATGGTTCAAACGAGATCATCACTACTGATGAATTGGTACAATGGATTCAAAAGAAATTGAATTTTCATAAAAAATTTTCCGCAAAAATTTTATTACAACAAATGGCTAATTTTGGTTTTATCGAAAGAATCGATGGTCATCCAATTTTGTTTCATAACGCTGTTGACGGGAAAATTGAATACGATTGTTTGTTCCCCTTAACTTTTGCCACAGAATGCTCTCCAACTGTAGAGACTTTAATCACCGCAATCTATGGATGTTTATCAGACATTAATATATCAATAAATGAATGTGGATTTTTAATTATGACCCGTCGTTGCTTTCCTGATCCATTTTTGTCTAGATATACACTGGAACGTTTAATTTTTGCTGTAATTGATTGGAGTTGTAGTGAGGATGATAGATTATTAAAAATTGCAAGAGAGTATATCCCTTTAAAACGTAAGCTTCCCGGTGTTCGTGATGAAATGGAAGACAAAAGGGCAGGTGTTGGTGGTTCCAGTACACAACAAAAAGGTGGCACTTATTTACACAATTATTCTGGGGGTGGTGCATATATTATTAGTCGTAAAATGTTAAAGGAGAAATATGTTGTAAATTGGATGTCAAAAATACATGAAATAAATCCTACATTATTTTGTGATTTAGTTTATAATCAATTAGAATCACTTCAAAAAGATCAAAATGAAAAAGGAAATCTACAAGAATCAATGGTGATTATTACTAATACACATGCGCATAAATTTGCGAAAAAAGATTAATATATTTTCATAATTATATTATTATAACAGGAAAATGAATTCCATCATTATGATATTGTTTTAAAAAATATAATTAAACTTTGGAATAATGGTTTACTTTTTTCATCTTTAAACAATCTGATTTCTCTTTGGTTAGATGATGTTTATCAAATATTAAGGAATCAACAAAAGGCACAATAATTATATATATTTAGTCATACATTATAATTTGATTTGATTTAATTTAATTTAAACTAAAGATTTATTTTAATATGATATTTTTTAGACTTTTGTTGAATTAAAAACTTTATATAAAATGTTTAGTGCTTCTAAAATCCCTTCCAACAGACAGAGTACCACAGACCAAATTCTTATTCATGCGGAAAATAACAATCTTGATATTACCGATCCAATCGCAACTTTATCACAACTTTTCAAAGAAGGGGGCGCTGTTGAGCTTTCACGTGCAGTACAATGGATGGAATTGATGGTGCGAGCAGGGTAACTAAAGAATAAAAATAAAAATAAAAATAAAAAATTCAAAAAAAAAAAAAATCCTATATAAAAGTTTTTTTTTTTTTTGATTAGTGTTGGGCTTCCTGGTTTAGTATTCTCTGATTTTCTACCACTTTTAGCAAAAATTGAGCCATCACTTGAACTGTATACTTCTTATTTACATGTCATATGGTATCAAGTAATGAATGGACTTGGTCACCTTATGACAAGAGGAGTCATTCTTAAAATAATATCTGATGTAAATGAGGCGACTTTAGATATGATAAAGAAAATCAATGAAGAAGGTCAAAGTGCTGATATGTTAATGTAAGATCAAAGTTGTTTATCTTTAGTGTTTTATTTTAAAGAAAAAATAATTTATTTTAATTGAAATTTTGATTTTTTTTTGTATATAGCGCTAGAAAATTTATCAAAATTACTTTAGCGTTATCATTACATTCATATAGTTGTCCTCTAGATTATATTTACAATTTAGGAATAGTAGAAGAACCCAATGAAAGACCAAACGGACAAATGTATGAAACGAACTAAAAAAAAAATTTCAATTATCCGCAAAATTTTAATTAACTAGAATAAAATTAACAATAATTACAGGTTACCTAAAAGAATTTCACATTTGCAAGATCCGACTCCTGGTTCGAACGTTACATCTGATACATCCTTAATTAAATGCTTATTAATTTATGCAAGATTAGAAAAATTGGAAATACGTAGCGATGTAGTAAAATCATTTTGGAGATTTTTCACTGCTGCAAGTCTTATTTTCAATAAGATAGAATTTATTAATAGTTGTATACCAAAGTTATTGCCTATGTGAGAGAATACTTAATTATTTATAATTCATATATATTTTAAAATAATGCGTATTATTAAGATTTTTGATAATTTTTATCAAGTGTATGGGAGGAACTTTCACCTTTATACGATGCATCTTCAGAAATTACAATGTTACTTTTAATGAGGATTATTTGGACTGATTCTCGATTTTTCCTAGCTTCTGTTAGTAAAGTTTTTGAGCACGAAAGATGGGAAGTGAGGTAAATATAGTTTTTAATACCTATTATTATTATTATCTGTTATTATTATTATTTATTTAAAATAATATTAATCCTCTATAATAGGTTTGACGGGTTGGACAATTTATATGGACTCTTTTCTAAATTGGATGAAGATGAACGTCTTTGATCACATTTGAAGAATTTCTATTATTTGTGGGTGGTGATTGAGAAGTTTGCGGATTTTCTTTTGCCATCAAGTCATCCAAATAGCCAACGCTCGGTAAGGCTTTCCCTATAGCAGGATGACCTGTGCTATTTCCCCAATAATGAAATAAAATATTAATTGCTTGATTACGACTTGGTGTGTCACCGTGCGCAATTATTTCTATAATGTCATGATAAAGATCCGGTTTGTGTCGAATCATAACGTCTAGTGTTCGATGCATCTGATACAAAGTTTCCAATGAAGAATTCTCGACACTGATAAATTGAATCATAGAATACAAAAGGGGTGTGAACATTGAATCAATATAATATGAATCTATGTCAAGATCGCCAGTGTAAGAAATAGAAAGTCTTTTTGATGATCGATTTAGAGAATCCCTTTTATTACTGTTGTTGTTATTATTAGACTCTATCCTTGGTGATTTTTTAACATCCAAATATTGAATATTTGACGTAGTTATTGTATCGTCAGAATTTATAGTAATATTTATATGTGAAGTATTTTCATTCTCTAAAATTTTAAATAAATAAATAATTAATCTAATTTTTTATCCAAAAAAAAAATTATATAAACCAAAAGAAAAACATACCATTCAAAAGTCTCCCATCGAAATGATTTAATTTTTCATCAGTTGAATTTTCAATTATAAAATCATATTGACAAGCAACCAAGTGTTCAAGTAAAAAATCGATATAAAAAATCAATAATTTTGAACGTAAAACATCACCAAAGTAATTAAAACCAGGTAACATAGTCATTCCCAATTCGTAAAGCCAAACAGGAGAATAAGGATTTTGATTAACTAAAAGACGAGCTACATCTAAAGTAATAGCTTGTAAGGCATTAGGCGGTCTTGTTGGTCTAGGAGAAGTGATTTTGTAACGACAATCATTATGAACTATGTCATACAGAACCTCCAAAATAGAATTTAGAATAGTGGAACCCTTTTTAATAAACGGAATATCCTGTATATATCTTGATGGTGAAGGTGAACGACCACGATTTGGAGAAGGATCTCTTGAGGAAAAAGGAGATTCTGGTGGAGTTGCTGCCGTTCTAGTGGAAATAAATAAAGATAGTTGTGTTAGAATATTAATTAAAAAACTGTTTTTCGATAAAATAATTCAAAATGACTCGCCTATCACCAAAATTTATTCCATGCATTTCACAAACGATTAAAACGTCTCTAAGTTGGTTTAACAAGTCATAAGTGTCATCAGTGTTAAAAGCTTCATTGTTGTTGTTAATATCGTTACCATCGTCGTCATTATAATTATGGTCAGCATAATAATCTTCTGAAAAACCATCTTCAACGTAAGCTGCCGAATTTTGAAAAGGTGAAGGAGGTTTTTTTCTTTTTTTTAATTTCAATAATATTTGAGTAATTAATTTGCGAGTTTGGTCCACTTTTAAATTTGCAGTTCCGGTCCTTTTTTGTGTTCTATTTGAAGCATTAATAATGGGTGGTGGACGAGTTTGTGAACGGCCTGTTGTGTTGATTTCCATTTTGGAACATAGTTACAATTTCTCTTTTTTTTTTTTTTTTTTTTTTTTTAAAAAACAAGCTACAAAATTCAAAATTGTTAATTACATCACTTTTCACTAGGCGTGATATTTAATAAAATTTATTTATTTCTTTTTCGTCACTTCACAAAAAAAAATAGGTTGATGATAACAATGTCATGCTATATCCTTCAAATACTAATGTTAGTCAAATATAATGGTAATGAACGAAAATTCTCTTTTAATAAAATAAAAAAAAAATTTTTAAATTAAAATTAAAATCTATAAAAAAAAAATAAAAATAAAAATAAAAATAAAGTATTTACATAATAACTAATTGACTAATAAAAAATATAAAAAAATCTATTTTCTCTAATAATGTGTCTAAAAAATAAGAGAATTTGATTGGTTAATTGAAAATTTCCAAATTCAAAAAAATAAAATAAAATTTAAATAAAATTTCGAAAATTTTATTAATCAATAAACAAATTGTCAATCAATTAATATTTAGACAGCGCGAAGTCCCATCTGACGTGCTTTTTGAAAGATTTGAATTCTAAATAATAATAATGATGATGATGATGATAATGATATTTAAATTATGTAATATATAATATAACATGTAATACATGATAAATATATAAATAATACCTAGTTCTATCAGGTTCAAATTCTTTGATGATCAATTCCCAATCACCATTATATTTATCATGAGCAGCCTTCAATCGTTCTACTTCTTCGTCCGACCAAAGTTGTCTTGGGGCACGTCTATGTTTATTAACTGTTTTTCAAACAAGTATAATTATAATTATAATTATTATAATTATTATTTATGTATGATTAGTGTTGTCAATAATAATATTAAGAATAGTGTTTACCATTATTGTTAAATCTGTCATTAAGAACAGCATATTCACTCGTACTTGAACCACTCATAGCCATTCCAGTCTCATTAATGATGTTTAAACGTTCGGTTCCAGGAGTTGACGGTTCAAGGAATAAGGTAACGTTGGTTTCTTTTAATAGATTTGCTATTCCTTCATAATATTCAGCCGATAATTCGAGGCATTTTTTTTGCTAGTTTATTTATTTATTTAAAAAATATATTTAAAATTACAAATAAATTAAATTAGATCTTATGAAGTATAAAAAAACTTACAAATTCATAGAAATTATGAATATTTTTCCGACGTTGAACTTGAACTCTAGGATTATAAGTTTTGGTAACTTTAAACCTGATCTGTGAAGGTGAATGTGGAGATTGTGATTTATTGTCTTCAGACATTTTTCAAATTTAATATTTTTTTTTTGAGTGGGAAATTATTGAAATTATAAATTATAAAATAAAATATTTTTTGTTTTTTTTTTGATTTAATACTATTTTTCTAATAATATAAAACCTTTATTTTTTATTGTATTGTTGTACTGAATTATGAAATTTTTAATTTATTTGGTGTGTGTATATATTATATACATTTTGAAAACGAGTGGGGGTGATGAATAATTTTATATAGTAATTTTGTGACACATTTTTTATTACACAAAACCTGATGCCAAGAAGCCGATAAAGTGCCTCAGATGTAAGCCCCAACGTCGCGAATTACCCTTGGTGTATAGGGATCTGGATTTTGTTGGGTGCGTCCACACGTTATACTAGTGTATTCCTCAGTGCAACCAAAGATACTCGCGGGATTTATGGAGCAAATATTGGCAAAAACAGGAATGTGATCAGGTCAACTTTTGCCTTGCGGATTTTCCTAAATCCTTGTGTTTTAAGCTCAGAGAATAAAACTACGTGGTGATTTTCACATAACTATTTTGCAAATTTTTGATGACATTCGTATGAATTTCTTGTGGATCCAGAACATGCATTGACAGAACTTATGTGAATAGAATCAATCCCCTTCAATTTGGATTATATCATGCATGACAAGCATAAGTGATATGGGGCATACTGCAACAAAACCAGGCAGAGTGACATTGGTATTACCAAGAATTTCAGGGATCAATATTGTTTTTAACATCACAGTTGTATTACAATGTAATGTGATCATAATATTCATCTAGACAAAAATAGTTAATATGAAACTCATTTACATTAGGTCTACCATGGAACCAAAGAATTATAGTACTATTAGA